ATATCCACAACTGGAACCTGGGCCAGCCTGACACCGGGCCTGGAGCCCTGCAGAGCCTGCTTCTCTCCTCTCCTGTTTCCCCAGGCTTCTGCTCAGCAGGTACCAGCCAGACGGTAGCCATGGCAACGGCTGACGGTCCAGATGCTGCAGAGAAACTGCTCTGGATCCCCGAGGGTGAGGTCCAAAGCTTGTGGTAATCAGTCATTCCTTCAACAAATATTTATTGAGTGTCTACTATGCGCTCGGCTGGGTACACTGCAGTGACTAAGACAGACTAGATCCCGTTCTCGTGGAGTAACAGAATAATTATAATACAAAAATCAATCTCTATTTTTTAGTGCTTTGTGTGTGTCAGATCCTGCGCTAAAACTTAACGCATGCATTATCTCCTTGGCAATAATTATCTCAGCCCAGCCCCAAGATAAGGGAGGCCCATCAGCAGCCCTACTTTTTACAGAGGGGGAAACTGAGGCGCAGAGAGGTTAAGCAACTTGTCTGAGGTCACACAGCTAGGGTGATGCAGACGGGCAAGGAAGCCTCCATCTCCAGCCCCTCGCGCGCTCCGGACCTCCGCTCCATCTGTCTCCCAGCCCCCGGAGGTTTCCTGAGCTGTCCCGCGTGCCACCTCTGGGCGAACTTGAGCTCCTGACTCCTCCCAGCCCCGCCCGCGTGGGACGCCGGCCCCCTTCGGCGGAGGGCAGCTGAAATGACAAGTCCAAAGCCACCCAGGCGGGCAGGGGCAGAGGAGGGGTTCGAGCCCCGGGAGCGGGGTGGGGGCGTGGGCGCGTCGCGGGGCCGCTCACCGATGGTGGTGATGACGGTGATGGCGAAGTAGAAGGAGCCGGCGAACTTCCACTGGCGGCCGGCGCGGTGCGGCTCGGCCTGCAGCGCCAGGCGCTCCAGCTCGCGGTAGTCCTCGGCCGAGAAGCCGTACTTCCTGCGGAACTCGCCGCGCTTCTGGGCCAGCAGCCGCTGGCGGCCGCGCTCCGCCTCGGACTCGAGCGCGTCGAAGACGGCGGCGCCCACCAGCAGGTAGGACAGGATGCACAGGATGAGCGCGGCCGTGCGCACGCTCTGCTTCCTCATGGCGGCGCCGCGGGCCCCGCGCCCCGGGCCGGTCCATGCGCCCCGACGGCCGCTCCGCACTCCGCCCTCCAGCCCGCGCGGCGGGAGCGTGCTGCGGGCCGCCGGACGCGCGGGCGGGGGTGGGGGGAGGGGACGGAGGCGGGGCCTCGAGGGGGGGCGCGGAGGACCGAGAGGGCTCCTCCCGTCGCCCCGCCCCCTCGCGACACCTGCCTTTGTTTACCCGCCGGAGCTCTGGGCGCAGGTGTCTAAGCAGCGACCGCTGGAGCAGAGCGTCCAAAGCCCGGTTCTGCAGATGTCCGGTCTCCACCGCTATGGGCCTGTGACTTTGGGCCAGTCAGCCAGCAAAACTTTACTGAGCACCTACTGGGACAAACAAGCGTCCTGGGCTACACGGAGCCCATATCCTAGAAAGGAGGTTTGGCTAACAGACCCACAAAGATCATTGAAGACAAGCGTGAGACAGAAGGGAGTTAGTCTCTGGGGGAGGTGGGCGTCGCCCCACTGAGGTGGTGGGAAAGGCCTCCAAGGAGTGACTGGGGTGGGAGCGTCCAGGCAGCAAGTGCGAATCCTTTAAGCAGAGAACCTGCGTGAGCTGGAACTGGGGAAACGGGGTGCTGGGGGGTGGAGGAGCAGGGAATAGGAGGACAGAGAGGGGACCTCACACAGGGTCTTACAGGCCGTTAGCCCGGAAAAGCTGTAAGCAGGAAAACGAACACACACCAGTGATCTGATTGACATTTTTTTCAAAAAGAGTGCCCTGGCGGTCCGTGGTAAAGGGGTGTTGGCTAAGAGTGAGGCCATTTAGGAAACTCTGTAGTCCAGGAGCGTGGTGGGGCAGGGGTGGGGGTGTGTGGCGTCAACCAGGGACACAGCCTCGGAGGTGCAGAGAAGCCCATGGATGGGAGATAGGGTGGGGACCTGGGGCTGGGCGCACACAGCTAGCCATATTTCCCAGCCTCCTTTGCACTTACAACTGTCACCAGTGGCCTGTGGGCAGAAGTGACCTGTGTCAACTCCCAGGCCTGGCCCATAAGCCCCCTCCCATGCTGTCCTCCACCTGTCCGCCCCGACCTGCGGGCTGAATGCAGAGAGGTAAAGTCTTTAGCAGAAGGCACAGACACAGGGTGGAAGGAGCCCGGGCACCCGGGTGACCCCGCAAGGCCGCCGCCACGCCAGGAGCACCGATTCTGAACTTCTGTTGTGTTGAGCCCCTGAGCTATGTGCTCAGTCTGTTACCCCAGCTGGTGTTACCCTGATGCGTGAAGCACCAGCACCTGCTGGTGGGCTGGATGTAGGGGGCAAAAGGGGACTCCAGATGACGCTGGGTCTTTGGCCTGAACAGCTGGGTGCTTGGACCTCCTTCCGTTGACCTCACTCCCCAAGGAATGAGGTCATTGCTGCCGCCCAGCACCAGAGTCCAGGGTAGGTCTTTGTGGACACTCTGGGCAAGCACCTGGCAGCCTCTCCTGCAGGTGTCCAGAGCATCTGTGTGGCCTGGTCTCTGCGGCAGCCTTGGCACCCATCCCCCATCCCCGCATCTCTCCTCCCACCTCTCTCCCTGCAGCCCCTTTGTGATTTTTTTTTTTCTTCAGACACACTGAACTATCAGCTCCTTGCACAAACTCTTGCTTTGCTTAGAACAGTCCCCTTCCCATCACACTCAATAGCCCACATTTCTTGAATGACTGCCAGGAGCCAAATGCCCGGTGAAGCTCTTTGCAGGTATCATTGCATTTTGTCACGACAGCCTCCTTACGCTGTAGGCATGGCTGGCGGATGCCCCGTTCCTCCTTCAGCTACCAGTTTACTGGACGTGGCCGTCCCTGGCTACCCCACAGGTGGCCTTCTTTCGTGCTGGTCTTTGGCCAGCCCTCTACCCTCTGGCCTTCGTCCCCTGGCACTGTGATTCTCCCATTCCATATCTGTGTTCTTCTGGAGGATAGGGATCCTACCTTGGTCATCTTTCTGTCCCCGGCACCCAGGTCCGGCACAGCACACCTCCCGTGACTGTGGACAGATGAGCAGCAGCGGCCCGTAGGAGTTCAGGGCATGGACTCTGCAGCATGACTGCCTGGGTTCAGATCTCAGTCTGCTGCAGGGTTAAAAAAGTTCCTATCTTATAAGGTGCTGTGCCCCGTCCCCTCTGCAGAGATGCCCATGTTCTTTCCCTGGAACCTATAAATAGGGTAAGATACACAGGAGAGTGGAGGGAGGGTTGCGGGTGGAATGAAAGTTACTAATCCGCTGACCTGGAGGTGGGAGGTTATCCTGGACTATCAAAGTGGGCCCGGTGTCATCATAAGGGTCCTTATACGTAGACACGTAGACCAAGGAGTTTCGAGAAGCCATTGGCCCAATGTTGCTGGCTTGGGAGATGGACCAAGGGGCCACAAGCCAAGGAGAACAGGTGACTTCTAGAATCTGGAAAAGACAAGGAAATGCCTCCCTAGAGCCTCCAGAAGGGAATGGAGTCCTACGAGTCCCTCAGTGTTAGGCCAGTGTGACCTGTGTAGCCCTCCCGTCCTATAGAAGGGGGAGATGGCACATGGGTGGTGTTCAAGCCGCTACGCTGGTGATCGTTTCTTTGAGCGGCAGCAGGAAATGACTTCAGCGATTGTCAGGACGGAGGAGCCCATAGGCAGGAAGCACTAAGGGCAGCCTCTGGCCCTGAGGACTCATCTGGAAGCATTAGCCACTGTTTCAAACATCACAAGTGAGCAAAACCCCCAGGCCCCCAGAGACATTATAGCATGTGTTCTGACTCAGAACTGAGTCAGGGGACTTGCACCTCTACCCCTCTGGGAAGCCGGACTGCTGCTCCGCGGCCCAGAAGCCATATTTGCAATAGTGTCTTCAGCAAGTTTGCTTTTCCTGATTCCTGCCGAGCTTTCAGAGGAACCGGAGCCTGGGTCACAGTCTCGATGGCTGGGGGTTGGAACATCATGGATTTACTGCCTGAGAAAGGGCTGGGAAGAGCTTTCCGGGGACACTTAATGAGTCCTGGTCACTGACACTGGGCTCACAGTCCAGCTCCTCCACTTTCTAGGTGCATGAGTGTTGCAAGAACACTCCTCTGGCCTTGGTTTTCCCGTCCGAGACACGCTGGTGGCAATGATGTCCACCTCGTGGGGACCATGCCGAGAACATAAAGGATCTTGTGTGTCGCTTCCCAGGAGCCCGGTAGCAGTAGCTGCGTTTCTTCCCTTTGTACAACTCACTGTCTGCCTGCAGATGTCAGGAATTCTTTTTCTGGAAGCGCATGTCTGTGCTACGCATATTCACAGACCTTCCTGACAGAACCCTCACTTTCCAGTGTGGGAAACCAAGGCACAGAGGGGAAGATACCCCACTTGCCAGGTCCTGATGGCCGGGTGGCAGCTGAATGAGGGCCATGTCGTCCCCAAGGTCACAATCCTTCCAGGGCACCATGCCACTTCATCAGGCATCATGCCGCCAGCTCAATCCCCCTCCCGTTGCCTCTCTGGCCTCCACCTTCCCCATCTCTAAGCTGGAGTGGAGGACCCCCGCTGGCTGCCCCCAGCACCGTGAGGGCCCCTGTGACACACAGCTGAGCCCGCTGGAGGGGGGGTATTATTGGGGCCATGGAGGAACTGTCTGGCCCTGCCAGGCAGGTGACTCGGCCGTGTGCTTGGCATCTTGGGTTCAGCAGCTCTATTTTAAGCCAGAAGAGGTTAGAGTTTGTGGGTGTGTATTTCTCAGCTGCCATCACCAAAAACAGCAGCACTCCAAGGTACCCCTTTGGGCTGCCCCTCCCTCTGCCTCCGCCACTCCTTCCTCCCTCGGGAACCTGAGGGGACCCAGTGATTTTCCTCTGTCCCTTTATGCTAGAGTCACACGCGGGGCCCCTCAGCGAGGCCTTGGGTCCTCTTCTAGGACCCCAGGGTCACCGGCTTGGAGGATAAGGAGGAAGGTATTCCCAGTCCCCCACTAGACCCTGGGTGCCTTTCAAAGCATTCTGCATCCCTGTGAGTCTAGAGCCTTCTGAAAGCTTTGTGAGTCCAGCAGGCCATGCCGTTCCCATGTCAGAGAGAAGACACAGACTCAGAGAGTGTGTGTCACGTAGGGTGACACAGCGCAGGGCAGAAGAACGGGAGTTTCGGAGGGAGGCAGACCTCAGTTCCCTCTTGGACCAGCGACTTCACCTTCAAGCCTCAGTTTCCTCATCTGTGGCATGGGCGTAAAGATATCGGCCTCTCAGTATTTCTGGGAGGATTAAATGAAAATGTGAAGGAGCGCTCCACACAGAATGGGTGCCCGGGAAGTGTTACCCCTTCTATCCAATTAATTTTTTCCTTCCCCTTTCCACACTGCTTATTCCCCAGGCCTCCTGGGATCTTAAAGGATTGATTTTTATAGTTAGAATATAGTTCAGTAATTTTCCACAAGCCCAGAGGGCCCAGGTGTTTTTCCTGATAAGATCTCTCCCTTGTCTCTGTCCTAAAAGAACGGATTATTTTGGCCTCAGGTGTCCGCTCCTTTGAGAAGGTGACTGTAACCTTTCTGAAGCCCGAGTGTCACTTAGGGATCTGGGCGGCAAGAAATTAAAAGCTGCCTCTTGCCAGTTTAAAGAACATTACAGGCAAGATCTGGGGTTCTTTCTTGCAGAATCTTCCAGGCACTGGCACACAAACCGTATGGTCTGAGGGACCCAGAGAGCTGGAACCTACATCAGGGAATCACATAGCCATACCCAGTGCCGGGGCGGGGGGCACCATGGTTCCCAGCCTGATGCAGACACCATTCGGGGGACAAGTCAAGTGGCAGCTATCTGAGCATGACCCTGTCTCTGACTGTTGGGACCTGCCAGAGCTGCTCAAAGGATTCCCAGCGTGAGTCTGTGGCCATTTGGTTGGAGTCTTCGGGAGTTCTCCACTTTCCTGAGGTTGGGTATCTTTGGGGTAATGGAGAGATTAAAACCTTTACTCTGGTTAATAATTTTAAAAATGAGGGGCACCTGGGTGGCTCATTTGGTTAAACGG